GGGTCAGAAAACTACAAGGGGAAATGTGGAGATGAAAAGAGCAATGAAAAAAGGAAAAGGAGACAAGCAGACGTGTTTCCACTCCAAGCTCCCACTTCCTCTTTCAAATGAACGGCCTCCCCACTGCGAACAGAATCAAGTATTTATAAGGCATTTTTTGCATATTAATAACAGCTGCAGATGGAGCGCTGCCCGTGCTGAGGTCCTAAAGGTATGGTGCCCTTTTTTAATGCGGGTCCTTCCAGCTCCTCGCGGAATGTGATCGCCTCCTTCACATGTATTCCCCTTCCTGCCTCGTGGCACCTCCTGAGGCCTTTCATTTGATTAAGAGAAATTTCGTGCCTGGGATACGGTCAGAGACCAGAGCGGTTCCTACCTGGTGGCTGACATCAATCGCCGGCGACGCGGTCCTCTTCCCCAGGGCCTCTCTGTGCAGAGGCTGCAGCGCGGGTGAGGTGACCAGCACCTAACGAGAGTATTAAAATTGTAAATGAAAATTCTAGGAGGAAACATTAACATATCTATGCTGGGGGAGGGGGGGAGAAGGATGAAAGTAAAACTTTTTAAGTTTAAAAATAATTGCATTCACTAAAACAGCATTATTATCTATACTCAGTAAAGATCACGTTCAACTTTAAGAGGAAAACATTGAGAACCCGGAAAAATAAGCAAAAGGCAAACAATAATAGTGATAGAAAGCAAGTATGGGAAAATATTCCTCCTGCGTGGCAATTTAAATGCAAATTGAGGCAAACTGGAGATCAATGCTCTATTTGAGATGTGCGTCTCCTCTCGCTTTTTTAAAAGGCAACACCCAGGACTGCCAAGGTTTGGGTAAAACCCGCACACTCTTGGTGGCGTGTAATCTGTTTCAATCCATGTGTAAAGCAAAATGGCAGTATCACTTGTGAAAACAGGAAAAAATATTTATAGCCATTGATTCGCTGTTTCTGACTTCTGGGAATTTATCCTAAGGGAATAATTCAGCAGGAAAAAAAAAGTGAGTGAAGATGTCTATTGCAGCATTATCTATAATAGAGAAAAATGGGAAACAGCCTATAATAGTCCAACATGGGAGAGTTAACTGTGACATATCCCTCTCAGTGAGGGGTTTAACTCAGGCATTAATAAACGATGCTTGTTCCAGCTAGAAATTGTGATTTAACACTAATGGAATGAAGCAGGGCTTCTTAACCTCAACACCACTGGCATGTGGGGCCAGAGAGTCTTTGTGGCGTGGGTTTTCCTGGACATTGTAGGTTATTGAGCAGCATCCCGAGCCTCTACTCACTAAAGGCCAGTAACACTCCCCCAGTTGTGACCATCCAAAGATGTCTCCAGACCTCGCCACATGTCCCCGGAGGGCAAATCACAGCCAGTTGAGAACTGCCAACGTGACTTTAAAAATGGAAGTCAAAGTGATGTCAACCGTGACTGCTGCAATATGTTTGTAAAAATGTATGTATAGCCCGGCCAGCGTGGCTCAGTGGTTGAGCATAAAGCCATGAACCAGGAGGTTGCTGTTTGATTCCCGGTCAGGGCACGTGCCCAGGTTGCAGGCTTGATCCTCGCTCGGTAGTGGGTGTGCAGGAGGCAGCCAATCAATGATTCCCTGTCATCATTGATGTTTCTGTCTCTCCCTCTCCCTTCCTCTCTGAAATCAATAAAAAATATACATTTTTTAAGTGAATCTGTAAGGAAAAGACTTGCATATAACGCATTCAAAAAAGTGCAGTCATGCTAATTTGAAATTAGGGATGTGTTAGGTTGAGTTTTTTTGTTTTCAGTCTGCCTGTTTTTCTTTTTTTCAAAACTCCCCCTGTAAGAAGGAAAAATAGATCATGAGGACACCTGTTTTTAAGTCTGGCTTAAAATAACTGAGGGGGGGTCACAGAAAACAAGTATACAGAAAACTAAACAAGGGTCAACACCATAGCGCCATTATTTTTTAACTTCTGTTAGTTAAAATTATTTAACA